TTCAGGGTTTTGGGAATAAAGTTTGTAATAAAATTAAAATATTCTAAACAAAAACAGCAGATTTTGTGAAGAACTGACATACGCCCAGCAACTAAAGAGCATGATAACAGTATGATAATAATAATAGCATGATAACAGTATGATAATAATAATAGCATGATAACAGTATGATAATAATAATAGCATGATAACAGTATGATAATAATAGCATGATAACAGTATGATAATAATAATAGCATGATAACAGTATGATAATAATAATAGCATGATAACAGTATGATAATAATAATAGCATGATAACAGTATGATAATAATAATAGCATGATAACAGTATGATAATAATAATAGCATGATAACAGTATGATAATAATAATAGCATGATAACAGTATGATAATAATAATAGCATGATAACAGTATGATAATAATAATAGCATGATAACAGTATGATAATAATAATAGCATGATAACAGTATGATAATAATAATAGCATGATAATGGCTCATAAATTAACTAGACAAAATGTTAGTGTTATGTTAACAAATGTTACCTCTTGTTAGTGGAACAATTATCACAGAACCATCGGGCGTCTCTAATATCCGGGTCTGAGAGACCAGCATGACAGAGGTCACGGGTCACACTTGGTCAGATAAGGTCACGGGTCACACTTGGTCAGAGGTCACGGGTCACACTTGGTCAGAGGTCACGGGTCACACTTGGTCAGAGGTCACGGGTCACAATTGGTCAGAGGTCATGGGTCACACTTGGTCAGAGTAGGTCACGGGTCACACTTGGTCAGAGGTCACGGGTCACACTTGGTCAGAGGTCACGGGTCACACTTGGTCATAGGTCACAGGTCACACTTGGTCAGATAAGGTCACGGGTCACAATTGGTCAGAGGTCACGGGTCACACTTGGTCAGAGAAGGTCACGGGTCACACTTGGTCATAGGTCACGGGTCACATTTGGTCAGAGGTCGCGGGTCACACTTGGTCAGAGAAGGTCACGGGTCACACTTGGCCAGAGGTCACGGGTCACACTTGGTCAGGGGTCATGAGTCACACTTGGTCAGAGGACATGGGTCACACTTGGTCAGAGAAGGTCACGGGTCACACTTGGCCAGAGGTCACGGGTCACACTTGGTCAGAGGTCACGGGTCACACTTGGTCAGAAGACATGGGTCACACTTGGCCAGAGAAGGTCACGGGTCACACTTGGTCAGAGAAGGTCACGGGTCACACTTGGTCAGAGGTCACGGGTCACACTTGGTCAGGGGTCATGAGTCACACTTGGTCAGAGGACATGGGTCACACTTGGTCAGAGGTCAGGGGTCACACTTGGTCAGAGGTCAGGGGTCACACTTGGTCAGGGAAGGTCAGGGGTCACACTTGGTTAGGGAAGGTCAGGGGTCACACTTGGTCAGGGGTCACACTTGGTCAGAAGTTATGGGTCACACTTGGTCAGAGGAAATCACGGGTCACACTTGGTCAGAGGTCACGGGTCACACTTGGCCAGAGAAGGTCACCGGTCACACTTGGTCAGAGAAGGTCAGGGGTCACACTTGATCAGAAGTTATGGGTCACACTTGGTCAGAGGAAATCACGGGTCACACTTGGTCAGAGGTCACGGGTCACACTTGGCCAGAGAAGGTCACCGGTCACACTTGGTCAGAGAAGGTCACGGGTCACACTTGGTCAGAGGTCACGGGTCACACTTGGTCAGGGGTCATGAGTCACACTTGGCTAGAGGACATGGGTCACACTTGGTCAGAGGTCACGGGTCACACTTGGTCAGAGGTCAGGGGTCACACTTGGTCAGGGAAGGTCAGGGGTCACACTTGGTCAGGGGTCACACTTGGTCAGAAGTTATGGGTCACACTTGGGCAGAGGAAATCACGGGTCACACTTGGTCAGAGGTCACGGGTCACACTTGGCCAGAGAAGGTCACCGGTCACACTTGGTCAGAGAAGGTCAGGGGTCACACTTGGTCAGAAGTTATGGGTCACACTTGGTCAGAGGAAATCACGGGTCACACTTGGTCAGAGGTCACGGGTCACACTTGGCCAGAGAAGGTCACCGGTCACACTTGGTCAGAGAAGGTCACGGGTCACACTTGGTCAGAGGAAGTCACGGGTCACACTTGGCCAGAGAAGGTCACGGGTCACACTTGGTCAGAGGTCACGGGTCACACTTGGCCAGAGAAGGTCACCGGTCACACTTGGTCAGAGAAGGTCACGGGTCACACTTGACCAGAGAAGGTCACGGGTCACACTTGGTCAGAGGTCACGGGTCACACTTGGTCTGAGGAAGTCACGGGTCACACTTGGTCAGAGAAGGTCACGGGTCACACTTGGTCTGAGGAAGTCACGGGTCACACTTGGTCAGAGAAGGTCACGGGTCACACTTGGTCAGAGGAAGTCACGGGTCACACTTGGTCAGAGAAGGTCACGGGTCACACCAGGCTGTTGTTACTACAATGCTACTCCGACAAACACCTTTACCAGTTTGGTTATGACTGGTAAAGCCAGCCGGATGGCAGCCGGATGGCAGCCGGATGGCAGCCGGATGGCAGCCGAGGCCGAGAAGAAGGCCTGGAGGTGATGTAAGCCTCCGCTTCACAACAGTAGTCGAATCCAGTCTGGTGGTCTCTGGTTAACGACTGACAGAGACATCTGACACAATCATGCCATTAAACTGAGAGGATGGAACTGTTACAACCTGACTAACTGGCAAACCATTTTTCCTCCAAGATGCAAGTCCCAGATCCTGAACGACATCCTCCACATCTTTATCGAAGCACTGCGTCAAGGTCATCTGAAGTGGTTATATAACAGGCTGAAATACTCAATCGCCTTGAAACACTGGACATATGTCAACTGTAGGACCAGATAAGGTCAGCCCAGGACTTTTAGGTAGCTGTGTGACACTGTTGGCTCCACCTCTCACTCGCCCATACCCTTTCTGCCTACCTCAAGGAATTTGGTCTTCCCTGTGGAAGAAGGTAGATGTTGTTCCAGAAAAAAAAGGAAGAGCCGTTCAGTGCCCTGTATAATTAATAATTTGAGAAAATTTAAAATCTAAAGACCAGTGTCATTATTTTCAATTGCTGACCGAATTCTTGAGACGTTCTCTCAGCAAATTACATCTTTTGGGGGGTCATCATCGGCTTATCTTCCCCAGAATTCAGTCCACACAGTTGTCTAACTCCCAAGTACATGTTAACTGTCATGATTCCACATGGAGTCGAGTCTGAAACTCTATGTGAGTTCTTCTCCGGGTAGCCGTTGGGTAGCTGTTGATTTGCTGTTTAGCTTTAGCTCGCTCCGTATATTTAGACGAAATATAGGTAGGCTAAGTGGGAATGAGTTTTGCGACTTTAAGGTGATTATAAGTTACTCCTTATATGAGGTGAGTAAGTTTCAGAGAGAGTAAGGATATTTTCCCATCTAGCACAGCGAAACCGAATCGTCTAGAAGCTGAAAGCACCAGGTTTGCCATGGTTACCGAGACGACACTACCTGCTGGAACCAATCAGCGTGAAGCATGACAGTGACGTCTTGTAAGGAACGATCGGGACAATTCACTTTACTGCTGAGTCTCAGAAGATCACGTCTGCCAACCATCGCTCCACACTTGGGAGAATATTGTCAACCAGACGGCATGTAAGCAGGCCCTAACCAAAGGAAGATTAGAACAGCATCTAGCAGTGTGCGGGGGCCCAGAAACTGACCTTGTTGAACCTGTTTCAGAAGCTTGAGCTTTGAGCTGTTTAGGAACTTTGCAGAAGAAGGCTGTGAGGATTGGCAAGCTGACAGACCAGGTGTGAGAGGTCTTTGCCGCCAGGAAGGACGGCAGGGTTTCAAGAGAGGCGTACCAGCGAAGGGCACCGAGCTGCCAGAGTGTCACACTATTCCTATGGAGTCTCGGCGGATGTAGCTGCCAGTTTTCACGAAGAAGAAACCTCGAGTTGGAGTAACGTCAGGACAGAGGTTCGGACGGTGTGGAACCTGAATGACTCGCCAGACGCCGAGTGGGCGCAGGCAGGCAGGCAGAGGTTAGGACGGGCTCTGTAGGGTCTTTCAGTGGACGAAAAGGTGAGGACCAGTGAAGTAGTTCACCTGGACAACTAGAGGTCGACCCAATAATTTTAAGCAGTGTTAATTATGAAGCAGTAGTTAGGGGTCGGAGGTTAGAGCCCCAGTTTCTCCGCAGGTCATTAAGCGAGTCGGGTGACTGCTGGAGAAAACGGGCGCTCGACAATGAATATTTTTTATTTTTAGTGTAACACCACGCGAGTCCCGTGCTATTACCCCGGGGGTCACACCCGCTTATTGTTACCACTGCTAAATGAACAAAAGCATCAGATGTAAGGAATCGTGCCCAAGCGTATTTTCCTACCCACGAATCTATTCCTGGACTTTTTGGGTGACAGCTGATTGCACCAGCTGTCGCACCACACAAGTATCACTTTAGATGTACAGAATAAAATTCCAGGTAGAAAATCTACGTGACTATTCTATTTTGTTTTATAATATATCAAATAAGAAAAAATTGAGTGTATTAAGTGTAGTTATATATTTCATAATGTTTACAAGTGTGTTTGTGTGGGTGGTCAGAGCCGCGGTGCCAGCTGCAGACGAGTGAGTGCAGAGCCATGGGCGGCCGCTGCAGCCTCGCCTGTACCACAGAGGAGGAATATTACCAGGACATCTGCTCCACCAGACACTGCTTCTGCTGCGTTACCAGTAAGTCTTGTTCCACTCTGGCAACTCATAACGCAGACCTGGAAGTTCCTGTCACAACTTCAGCATTGCTTATCAGGCCATTTGTTGCAATAATTGAATAATATGCATCTGACCTTCCCTAGGATTCGACCCACAACAGCTGCATAATTCTCAGATACCTAGTTACTGCTAGGTGACCAGAAGCATCAGGTGTAAGGACATGATTCAAAACATTTTGCTTCCTGTCTCGTTCTACATCCTTTCTTCACGTGTAGCGCCATGAAGCTAGAGGCACAGCGACCTGTCATTGGTGGAGGCTTGATCTCCCAAGGACTCAGAGAAGGGGCAAAGAGGCACAGTGGTAAGACTCGCCTCGCTCTTCCCGAGCGATTTGGCCTGGGTTCGAATACTGGCTGTGGAGGATTGACTAGGCGCCAATCCTAAACGGTTCGCCTCTGTTCACCCAGCAGTGAATGGGTACCTGGTTGTTAAACGATTTGGCGGGTCGTATTCCGGGGAACATTAAGATTAAGGACCTGTCCTAGTGGCTGTACAAGAATGTAAGAACTCTTGTATCTATTGTTAAACAAATACAAAATATTTATCATTACAGATGTCTAGTACAGTTTCTAATTGAATTTTGCAGTTTTTTTAGTTAAGAATTTGTTATTATCTTGCATATGCCACATGATGTCAGTAGGTATAATATATATAAACACCATATATACAATGCAATACCTCTTTTAAATTTATTTTACTGAGGTCCTTCAGTGTAATGAGCTATCTAGGGATTGTTGACAAGGGTCGTCGACCAGTCCGTCCTCCTAAGGTTTCCCCTTAGGAAAACTGACGTACTAAAGTGCCTTTATCCTAACCTATCAGAAGACCCAACAATTGTCTGATTTAATTAATTGTTAAATCAACCTAGGCGAGTATCTTACTATCGTCAGATTATCATCCAGGTGGCGAACACATGCATGGGTGTCCAAGGAGCATGGGAGAACTCTCTTCCCTTCTCCCACCCCTTCCCTGAGAGATCTAGGCACACGTGGGGGTCAGGCGTTGACCAGCATCCAAGCCACGACATCTGTGGTTATAACATTACTTCCCTCGGCATATTGACACAGTGGATAATACAAGTCACTAATCCATAAGTGTCATAACTGGTCCCTATACAGATATAGGGTATACTAATATAGATTGTAGGGTATAGGGACCCTATACCCAAGACTGTAGGGTATAGGGACCCTATACTCAAGACTGTAGGGTATAGGGACCCTATACCCAAGACTGTAGGGTATAGGGACCCTATACCCAAGACTGTAGGGTACAGGGACCTTATACCCAAGACTGTAGGGTATAGGGACCCTATACCCAAGACTGTAGGGTACAGGGACCCTATACCCAAGACTGTAGGGTATAGGGACCCTATACTCAAGACTGTAGGGTACAGGGACCCTATACCCAAGACTGTAGGGTATAGGGACCCTATACTCAAGACTGTAGGGTACAGGGACCCTATACCCAAGACTGTAGAGTATAGGGACCCTACACCCAAGACTGTAGGGTGCAGGGACCCTATACCCAAGACTGTAGGGTGCAGGGACCCTATACCCAAGACTGTAGGGTACAGGGACCCTATACCCAAGACTGTAGGGTATAGGGACCCTATACCCAAGACTGTAGGGTGCAGGGACCCTATACCCAAGACTGTAGGGTGCAGGGACCCTATACCCAAGACTGTAGGGTACAGGGACCCTATACCCAAGACTGTAGGGTGCAGGGACCCTATACCCAAGACTGTAGGGTACAGGGACCCTACACCCAAGACTGTAGAGTATAGGGACCCTACACCCAAGACTGTAGGGTATAGGGACCCTACACCCAAGACTGTAGGGTGCAGGGACCCTATACCCAAGACTGTAGGGTACAGGGACCCTATACCCAAGACTGTAGAGTATAGGGACCCTATACCCAAGACTGTAGAGTATAGGGACCCTACACCCAAGACTGTAGGGTATAGGGACCCTACACCCAAGACTGTAGGGTGCAGGGACCCTATACCCAAGACTGTAGGGTGCAGGGACCCTATACCCAAGACTGTAGGGTACAGGGACCTTATACCCAAGACTGTAGGGTGCAGGGACCCTATACCCAAGACTGTAGGGTACAGGGACCCTACACCCAAGACTGTAGAGTATAGGGACCCTACACCCAAGACTGTAGGCAGGTGGCAGCGTTGTTGGAGCTACAGGTGTCTTAAGTGGCTCCCAGGTACAAGTGGCAGCGATACAAGTGCAGCTTCACCATTAATAAAGGGGCGAGAGACATTATACATCAAGTCCCTTAGCGCGCATACGAGCCAAAAGTGACGTTATTTTTAAGAGGACGGGTTGCATAGATGGCGTATAAAGAGTCCCGTCCTGCCACCTTACAACAGTCTCTCAACTTGTCCTCGCCGTCCTCCGCCACCTTCCTGCTACATTCCTGACATTCTGCCTCTTTGTTTTATTTTTGATTTGTTTAACAATAGATACAAAAATTCTTACATTCTTGTACAGCCACTTGCACGCATAGCGTTTCGGACAGGTCCTTAATCTTAATTTTCCCCGGAATACGACCCGCCAAATCGTTTAACAACCAGGTACCCATTCACTGCTGGGTGAACAGAGGCGTACCGTTAAGGATTGGCGCCTAGTCAATCCTCCACAGCCAGGGGTTCGAACCCACGCCAAATCGCTCGCGAAGTGCGAGGCGAGTGTCTTACCACTGTGCCTCTTTGCCCCTTCTCTGAGTCCTTGGGAGATCAAGCCTCCACCAATGACAGGTCGCTGTGCCTCTAGCATCATGGCGCTACACGTTATCTTGAGATCTTGAGGTTATCTTGAGATGATTTCGGGGCTTTTTAGTGTCCCCGCGGCCCGGTCCGTGACCAGGCCTCCACCCCCCAGGAAGCAGCCCGTGACAGCTGACTAACACCCAGGTACCTATTTTACTGCTAGGTAACAGTGAAGAAAGGATGTAAAACGAGACAGGAAGTAAAACGTTTTGGTACATTTCATTACACCTGATGCCTCTGTTCACCTAGCATTTACTAGGTATCTGGGAATTATGCAGCTGTTGTGGGTTACAGCCTAGGGAAGGTCAGCTGTTGGCCTAGGGGAACGTCGATAAGAACAACTGGCTTCCTGATCAACCAGGCTGTGACTTGTACGTCAGGCTGCGAGCAGCCACGTCCAACAGCCTGGTTGATCAGTTCGGCAACCAGGAGGCCTGGTCGACGACCGGGCCGCGGGGACGCTAAGCCCCGGAAGCACCTCAAGGTAACCTCAAGGTAAGGTTCCTGTCCACACAACTGGAACCCATTGAGATTGTTGAACGCAGAGCACTAAATATTCGTAAAGCTTTATGAGCCTCTGTTACCTAGCAGTAAAATAGGTACCTGGGTGTTAGTCAGCTGTCACGGGCTGCTTCCTGGGGGTGGAGGCCTGGTCGAGGACTGGGCCGCGGGGACACTAAAGCCCCGAAATCATCTCAAGATAACTTCAAGAAGAAGATAACCTCTGCAGTACTCCAAAACTTGCTGTCTTTGTAATTAAAGCCCAGCGAAAAAATAGAGTAAAAACCAATTGATTTTTAATAATATAGGAATATACCGTAGAGTACAGAAACTGTATGCAGGCGATGAGTCACAATAACGTGGCTGAAGTAGTTTGACCAGACCACACACTAGAAGGTGAAGGGACGACGACGTTTCGGTCCGTCCTGGACCATTCTCAAGTCGGTCCAGGACGGACCGAAACGTCGTCGTCCCTTCCCCTACTAGTGTGTGGTCTGGTCAAACTACAGAAACTGTAGTTTTATCTGCATTACAAGTGTGTTTGTGTGGGTGGTCAGGGCCGCGGTGCCAGCTGCAGACGAGTGAGTGCAGAGCCATGGGCGGCCGCTGCAGCCTCGCCTGTACCACAGAGGAGGAATATTACCAGGACATCTGCTCCACCAGACACTGCTTCTGCTGCGTTACCAGTAAGTCTTGTTCTACTCTGGCAACTCATAACGCAGACCTGGAAGTTCATGAAACAACCTTATCTTGCTTCTCAAGTCATGTGTCGTGATGGATTGAGAGAATCGTGTATCACCTGTTCAATGATCAGGTCCTGTATCCTGTACCACCTGTTCAATGATCAGGTCCTGTATCCTGTACCACCTGTTCAATGATCAGGTCCTGTATCCTGTACCACCTGTTCAATGATCAGGTCCTGTATCCTGTACCACCTTGTTATGCACGTTGTTGGGTTCAAGTAATGTGAATGAGATGTTTGGATTAACATTTGTGTTAAAACATGCATTAGCAAGGTGCACAATGAAGCTGAATAGCTTGCACTTAAATCTTGCACGTCAATTTATAAATATTACAACGTTTAACAGTCTCTTAGACATACTTTCATATGAACAAATCCACAAGGGCCGTGTCGAGGATTCGAACCTACGTCCGAGAGCATCCCAGACGCTGCCTTAATCGACTGAGCTAGCGGATTCCTATGTGTCAACATACCTTTTTGAGTATCATCGCCATTCCGTGTTGAGTTTTGTCTCCGGGGACATCAAAGCTTGCTTCACGCACTGATGAGTTAGGTCACTGATGAGTTAGGTCACTGATGAGTTAGGTCACTGATGAGTCAGGTCCAGTATGTTATCAACACACTTCAGAACAGCAGCAGACACAGTCAAGACAAAAAGAAGGATCAACATAACACAGTGACATGTAGCGCTGTGGCTAGTACGGTTTCGTCATAACCAATTGAACCTGAGTTCGATTCCCGGTCTACATGAAACGTACACGTTCATTTCCACCTCGATGCCCTTGTTTACATTGGTGGAAATAGGCACTTGGGAGTTAGTCGACTATTGTGGGTTGTATTTTGGGAAAGGTCAGTCAGTGGCTGATAGGACCTCGATAAGTCGAACAAGCTATTTTGAAAGCAGATCACTGATATTCGTTAATAATTTGAATTATTAATTTGAATTATTATTATGTTAAAAATAGAAAATGCTTAACGCGTTTTCGGCTAATTCGCCTTCATCAAAGCAAAGTAGAATGATTCTACTTTGCTCTGATGACGGCGAATTAGCCGAAAACGCGTTAAGCATTTTCTATTTTTCACATGTGGTTATTCTGCATACTTGGATCAGTGTTTTTGTGATCATTGTTGCATATATATATATATATATATATATATATATATATATATATATATATATATATATATATATATATATATATGCCTAATATATATATATATATATATATATATATATATATATATATATATATATATATATATATATATATATATATAT